TTACACAGATGAGGATTAACGAAACATTTTAATGATTTCTAATTGATGTTTTAGACTGGAGTGTGCTATCTGCTGCTGTGTAATACTAATGGTTATGTCTGCTGTGAATTTGGTTTTTACCTTGTTTTACTTGTGTCTTGGTCTCTGATCATCGACACTGCATCACAACAATAGCCGACTCCAAATGCAGCACAGCTAACAAGATAATTCACTCCTAATGTCAGATGAGGCAGTTTCAGACTGTACAAAGTTTGTCTTGTCAGCTCAAGATAATTCTTCACAATTTTGCAATTGTATGCTCAAAACGATGTATGTGTAAATATAAAGACCCAAATATACAATGAAAATCAATTATTCTCCAACAAATTAACTTCCATAGAGTAACTGGTCTCCAGATCTGGTAATATCAACAAATGGGCCTTTTTTTACAAGGACATTCAAACTATCAGTTACTGTGTCACTCATGAAAGGTGTAGGAAGAGCTTCAGTGCTCAGTTCAAAACTCTGGACAATAAACATGTTTAAGCACTTATCTGGGTAGTAAACATCTACCATTATGCTGAAACAGAATTAACTCATATGAAAAATACTTTGTCCTCTATCTCTCTTCTCATCTATCTTCTGGTTTGTGTGATGGACAATCTAATTACAACTGAAATCCGAACAGTAAGACTAGAAAAAGGCACAAAGAGGGGGCAAAAGGATGTGACTTGGGTATGTCCTTAAAATAAAAATTGTGGATGCTAAAACAGATTCAAAAAGAGATGGGACAAATCCATTGAGAGCCATGAAATATGATATCTGCTTTGGTATAGTACTTTCCTGAGCCACAGAGAGTGGGAGTCTTGCAAGACTTTTTGCTGGGGATTTGAGATGTGATGACATCTACATTTGCTGGTGTAACTTAGAGGCTTTTATTCTTTGGTTTTAGTTGCAACTTTCCGTGCATCTGAAATTGGTATCTTCATAACTTGTTATTCTGCATTTTGGTTGAGAAGTCAGCATTAATCCTTTCAAATGAAAATACCTTGTTTCTAAGAACGGAGATTTTCCTGTGCTCTCATATTAACCAAGCTCTCTCTCAATTTTTAATTAGAAGGCAAATCGACTCTTTTAATCTTTCTGTAATTTGAAGTTATGGAAAATGCCATTTGACGTGCATAAAATGAGCAGCAAAGTTTTCCAAAAGGAAAGGACTACTTCTTATACTTTAATCTCTGGTATTAATGTAATCAGAAATATTACTGCACGAATAGAAACTGCAAGGCATTACTTGAATAGAGTTTGTCTCTAGAATTAAATGGTAAAATATTTCACTAGATCAGGTTTCCGAGTGTTGCTTTTAGGAATTCAATCTTAGACCAGTGCTAAAATATTCTGCTAGATTAAAGGTTCCTGAGTTATGAATGCTTTTGAATTAGTTCAGTATCTGCACCAACCAAAGCAGTTCTAGCACTGGTTAGCTGCAGTTTCCAATTTTTACATCACAGTGTGTTACTTCTAGAGAGATTAGCCTAAACCATATGGCTTAAAATTGTAGAATCAGAGAATGTTTTAGGCTGGGGGACCTCTAGAGGTCATGCGGTCCAACCTCCCTACACAATTAGGGACATCTCTACCTAGGTCAGGTTGCTCAGGGCCCTGCCAAGCCTGACCTTGAATGACTCCAAGGCTGGGACCTCCACTACTTCTCTGGGCAGCCCATTCCAATGATCTATCACTCTTATATTAAATAAGTTTTTTTTTTCTAATATCAAGTCCAAATCTATCCTTTCCTAGTTTAAAACCATTACTCCTTGTTCTGTCATTACAAACCCTTTTGAATAGACCTTCCCCGACCTTCATGCAGGCCCCCTTCAGATGCTGGAAGGTCACTGTCGGGTCTCCCCTGAGTCTTCTCTTCTCCAGGCTGAACAGCCCAAACTCCCTCACCCCATCTTCATATGAGAGGTGCTCCAATCCCTTGATTGTTTTGTTTGCCCTCCTCTGGACTCGCTCCAGTACGTCTACATCCTTCTTATGCTGGGGGCACTAGAACTGGACGCAGTATTCCAGGTGAGGTCTCACCAGGGCAGAGTAGAGGGGCAGGATCACCCCTCTTGATCTGCTGGCCACAGTTCTTTTGATGCAAGCCAGGATGTGGTTGCCCTTCTGGGCTGTGATTGCACATTGGCGGCTCATGTCCAGTTTTTCATGCACCAGCACTCCCAAGTCCCTTTCCACAGGACTGCTCTCCAGTGTATCCTCTCCCAGCCTGGACTGACGGTGCTGGTTACCCTGGCCCAGGTGCAGGACCCTGCATTTGGCCTTGTTGAACTTCATAAGGTTCATCTGGGCCCACCTTTCCAGTCAAATAAAAAAAAATCAAACCATGTGAATGAGATGGATTTTTTTTTCATGTGTTATGCCCTATGAAGTGAATGAAGGAAATGCAAATCACAGTTGCTGTGCTAATAGAGCCTTTATGACAGAGCACGGAAGTCTGTTTGCTCCTGGGTTACTAAGTTAGCAGAATTCCTGGCTTCCTGAGTATGTTCTCTTCGTGAGCAAAAAGAGTGGATCAAGTTGAACTGCAGTGATTCCCAGTGCACTTTTTTTTTTTTTCCTCAAAGTAAAGTTTCAAATATTAATCTTTCAGGTTTTTCAAAAAGATTTGTAGAAGGGAAATACTGGCATGACCACCAGATGAATTTATGCCTTCACTCTGAACTTTGGTGACTTGCAAATAACTGTTTGCTATTTTTCTAGTTAGAGGCAAAATGCATTCGTATGTCTTTGAAATTTAATCAAAACATTCACTCTTATCAGCCCTTGTTAGAAAAACATTTTGCCTGTATTATGTGAATAATTGCTAGGATGAAAGCTCAATTCTAAAGTACAAAAATAATTATGAATATGCATTAAAAAAAATCGAGTAAATTTTATTCCTAAACGTTAAGGCCAGATACCTACAATAGAAAGAAAACACCAAAGGCAACATACACTGGGACAAAGCAGAAATTCAGTCTGGGCAATAAGGTCTTTTATGAAATACCGGAGTCGCTTCATTGTTAAGACTTCTGAAATGTTGGAGACTTGCTCCGAGGGAACGGGCAGGATTGGTAAAAACCAAAGCACCAGAGTTGTTCTCCTTAGCGTAAGCACCTGACAGCTAATTATTGCTAAAAGTATTGCACAGGAGACTAAAAAACGGCAGCATTATGGAAGACTTTATTTTCCATATGAATATGCTGTTGCAGAATTGGACTGTGGAGATGTGGCATCTTTTAAAATTGAAGGTAATGATCCCAGCCTTTCTGAATGACTATAACCCTTCTCTTTTTTAATTTAACTTGAATAAGTTTTATTCAAATTAAAAGGGAAAAATCCAAATCAGGTATATATTTTACAGGTTTTTTTTTTTCCTAACAAGTCAAAGTAATTTAAAGTTACTCTTCAATATGGCAGTTTGATTACTAAAGCACTTTGAAAGATGATACATAGATTATTTTAAAGGAGGCACGAAGAAATTGTGTAAAACAATAATCTTTGGTTATGTGGGAAGTTTGTTTAGTTAGTATAAAGTGGCGTTATCACAGATCCCCACTGAGGAAAAGTTCCTATGCGCCTTAGCCTGCAAAGACTTAATGCATGTGTGTGCCTAACCATACTTAGGCCCCCTTGCAGAAACTGGGATTGTGATACATTTTTAAAAGATAGAGGAAAAAATTAAATAAGAACAATAGTTTGAAGAATGTTTGTTCCCACATTTAGTATGTCCATTATAATAGAGCTGTTATGGACAGGAGTCAAACTTGATTATCAGTAGAGCTCAAAGCCTAATCACAAATTCTAGATACAACAGCATTCACAGAAGAGGAAAATGGTTTGCCCAAAGATGGTTCTGCAATACCATATCCAGTATCGAATACTCATGCAACTTTTATTGTCTGCTGAATTTTCATGGTTAAAAAGGAATCTCGAGAAGAATCTAATGTAAACGTGTCAGTATAAATAAAAAAGCCAGAATAATTCCTCTCCCATGAGACATTTCCAAGATGTTTCAAGTCAGAATTATTTTTGTAACTTCCCAAAATTTCTTTTTGCACCTGAATGTATCAATTTCTCTCTGTTTTGAAATATCGGGTTTTCTGAATGAGCCTTTTTAGATTTCCATGGGTATATTTCTGAAGTCCATCTTCTAATGAGCTCGCTAACAATAGACAGTGGAAAAGGTCCTTCTAGAAAAGCTTGTATGTCTCTACAAAGCATGTACTTAAAGCTCAGTTACTTCAGACTTGCTTAAGTTTTGTTTGTTTGCTTTTTTTTAACTGAACCAGTAACAAATTTTTCTTTAAACTTCATTTAACTTTCATCTTGATATAACTTCTGTTCACAAGTGTTTCTGGAATTTTTCCATGTTTCCACTGTGTTTCTAAAATTTTATTTCCGTTTTTAATTTTCTTAAAATTGTGTTCATGTTTTTACACAGATTCATTGACATTTATTTCTTTTTTAATTTATTTAAAATGTCTGACTGCACCCAACTGTAGTATTTCAGGAAAAAAAATCTTGAAATTCTGTGTTACTGAAAAAATACTACTTGTACTGTTGAGAGATGTACTACTAGTTCTTTTCTCAAAGGATCATTCATATAGCTAGGATATATATGAACTTAAAAATACTAATATTTTAATACACTTTGTAAGCATCACTTTTAATTAGTGAGCTCTGGAATTTAGTTCATGTTCTAAGTATTCAAGAACAGAACTGTTGCAGTGCTCCATTTATCTTTGATGATGATTTTGATCTGAATGCTAGATTCATTCATTACTTTGTTTTAGAGTATTAGAAATGTGAAGTGAATGTGGCTAGTGCTGCCTTTCTTGTATTGTTTCTTTGAATACTGAAAGAATACACAGAATGCTGTCTCTCCTAATTGATTCAATTCTCATTTTCTCTGACTCTTCATTGCTGTTACTATAGTGATCTACTCTATAAGATCATCTTATTTCTTGCAGATGAATGATGCTATGGGATTTGAATTGCCATGGGTGTATTTTGTCAGTCTCGTCATCTTTGGGTCATTTTTCGTACTAAATCTTGTTCTGGGTGTATTGAGCGGGTAAGCATACACCTTTTTCATCATGAAAGCAGAGTCCTGAATTCAGTTGCCATGAACACACAGGTTATCTTATACAGGTGAGACTTCAGTTGCAACTACATCTTTTTAATAAGTCTCTATATCTTCCTTTTCTAGTCAGAACAGAAAAAGTTCTGTAGCTATTATAAATAACACACAGATACCAAAATTAGAGTTTAGATGTACCAGTATATCTTCTTTATGTCCATACTTGTGGCAAAATTATAAAAAGGCCTTCTGCACTTACTTAAATGCTATTTTAGATAATTTTATTAGACATCACATCTACTACATTAATTGGGTAAGTAATGAAACAGAAGTGTATGGGTTTTGTTTTTTTTTTTTTAAGAAATGAATAAGCCATAAACTTTTAGTGTTGAAACCTACGTGATCTGGCAGCTGCAAAAAGGACTCTGCTGTTTAATGAATGACTGAATCATAACTTATTTCCTTACATTTTACAGGTAAATGATGCAATAGGATGTGAATGGCCATGGATCTATTTTGTTAGTCTTATCATCCTTGGCTCATTTTTCGTACTTAACCTGGTTCTTGGTGTACTTAGTGGGTAAGCAGTTGAGTTAACATTGTGTATGCTACTGCTACTTGTAAGATGGCCTCTGCATTTACTCAAGCTTCTCAGCAATGGCTTTTTTGCATGCACTTGAGATTATGTCATCCTACCAATGTTTGTTCTTTTGACTGAACTGTGTGATTATAGTGCCTGTATCTGTCTGACATCACGTTCACCATGCTTGCCAAAAAAACTCATTAAATGAGGCACTAATCTCTTTATTCTGTAATATTCCAGCAGGGAGAAAGATTTTGCACACAGAGATGGGTGGTACACCTGTAAAAATACTCTCCTCTACAGTTACAGACAAGTGTCTTTTCCTGAAAGCACAACTTCTGCTTTTGTTCAAATATCCATAAAGTAGTTGAAATGTTATTTGTTTACCAGTCACATTGGAAAATATTTTTAATGAGTGCTTCAAGACCTGTGTTATAGATATGACTAGTTCACCTTGACACAGTGTTTAGTGCATCCTATATTGTAGACATGTGTACTGCTGTGACAACCTGCACCTGCAAGCTGATAATATTTATTAATAGCTGAGTATCAATTTCCCACCTGTCAGTGGGAGTTGTTATAGCTTTTTGTAGGTTTGTGTACTCCAGGCACCAGCTAAGAACTAAAGTGGTGTCAGCTGTAGCGTGGAATTAAAAATTGTAGATTATGGCAGTAGTCTTCTTCTTACAAATCCCCCTTAGTGACGTTACAACTTTGCTTCATTTGCTATTTCTTGGTTTCTAACACACTTGAGCTTGGAAAACACCAGTTTATGGTAAAAATATTTTCTGATAAACAAAAGATCCTGCTAGCATATGTTAAAAGAAAAGGAATACAATTGATGTGTTAGCTTTCAGTTACACAACAAACGATCTTGTTCTGGGAATCTTAGGCAAGCTGTGCCAACTTTGTTAGTCAACAGAAAAATTTCCATGGCATAGAAAGCAGCCTAACACCGTGGCTGATGGTGTCATCAGGCTGCAGGCTGCTGACTGTGTGCAGCCCTGTTCATGGCTTTACCATGTTATATTTGTTATATTCGCTATTTTGTATGTTAGATTTGGAAGGAGTTATAATGCATTATTATATTCCTGGAAATGAGGCAATCAGACAATATTTCTGGCTGCTGGTATGATAACTATGTTACAAGAACACTTTTATCTGATGTTTTACAAGGTGTTTTTTAAAATCATAACATTTTTCTGTGATAGATTGTTGTCACACACAGAAAATTAGAGAAAGCATAGTGTTACCTTACTGTCAGAGTCACTTTACAAAGCAGATGTTTAAAAGAAAAGAGGTAGTGCTAAAAACATATTGCTGATTTTTAGATCTAATCTCTTCCTTCCTAGGCCTACCCTGTAAAGTCTCATTTATATAGTCATATTAGCTTTGTTTTATTCAGGGACAAATGTGTAAATTTTTGCAAAACTAAGGACATAGGCTTAATGTCACAGCCACATTAGACAAACAAAATAAGAATGATAAGGACAGATAACTAAGGGTAGCTGTGGTGTAATTTATTTCTTCTTTTGATACTGTTAGCTAATGTTGCTGTGTGTCTAGACTTCCCACTGAAGTCATTGGAGGATTAGGTTTTCACAGCTCCTTTCCTTGGCCCTTAAGAGGGTCATAAGCAGCAATTAGTTTTCTTCCTGTTGTGTGAGGTGTCCTGTGATAACAGTTAACTAAATATTCAACATTTTCCTTGCATGACTCAAGCTGTTATTGGTTTCAGATTTTCATCTTTTTAAAAATAAGTTGTGGGGAAAGTAGTGCCAGATTTAGCATTTTGCTGCACTTGTTCGTTTCTTCTATTGAAGCCTTGGGAATTTAGAGACCCTCACAGCTAAGCTTTACCTTTGGTTTAATAAACTAAAAAATTTTCTAAGTTTTGCAGCAGTATGATATGTATGATATTTATTGGAATATGGAGTTGTTCTTTAGCTGCTGTTACAACACAGGGGAAGAGACATCCCTTTATCCTTGGGTTCTATTCTGCAGACAAGATATCATCTCTGATTTCTAGTTATTGCTTGACCTGTAGAGCTCTAATGCTCTTCAGAACCCTTGATGGCTTGCCTTTGATTTCCAGTAAACAGAAATGGCAGTGTCAAGTGTGATGTGAACTCCCCTTAAATTCATAGAGCCATTATTTCCTTAATTTAGAAATTAATTATTCTTCAATAGTGTCACCTAACTGGAGTGTCATTTGAGTACTCAGGGTGCTTGATGAATTGTTTGCCCTAAGTACATGACAGAGTCTTCCTACCACTCTGTTTTTTTTTTCTTTGTTTTTGATGCTGAAGAAAATTATGCCAGTGAGCTGTGTGATATATAAACATCAGCAATGGTTGATGTTGAGAGCAAAAGGAGAAAGGAAAAGAGAATATTCCTAAAAGACAGCTATCATACCAAACCAATATCTGGTACATAAACATAGAAAATGTCCTGGCATACTTGTTTGAACCTCTGACACAGCCAGTGTGGAATGCTGCTACACTGATTTATCCTGATTACTAAATGCTGTTTGTATATAAATATTAATTTTTTTTTTCCATATGTTTTTCTATTTAGAACAAGCTGTCTAAATTTTATGGGTAAAAATGATGTACTAGTAAAAACAGATGGATGTGTTTTTATTCTTTAGTAGAAAACTAATATTTTTCATTTGGAGCCAGGCACTGAATATGTAACACAGCCATTCTTTGCTTTTTCATATAAGAGTTATTAGCTTGTAGGTTTTATGCTCTTGAAAACATAGCATGAAACTTGGTTTATGATAAATCTACAAACAAAGTTAAATTTTACTAAACTAATCAAACTTGAAGAATGCAAAAATTATGCCAACTTGAAAAGCATGGCTTTGCATACAGATTTTGGAAGTGGAATCTGAATGCCTAATACACCTTTTCTGTATGAAAGTGTTATCTCTTGTAATATCAGGTTATGCTGTGTACATTGAAATTTGTCTGCTGTTCTGATCTGTTTGCAGTTTTAAAATATTCCTTCATCTCTTTGCACTCCTTTGTTACTCTGTGACCACCTGCCCCTTTGTATTTCTGTAATGCCTCTTGTGCACTGCATGTTTGATGTACTTAGATACTGTATAAATGGATGAGAATGATGATTTGGGAGATGTTTTGATTTACTTCTAGCAGTCTCTGAAGGTGAGTATTTCCTGGTGATCCTTGTCAGTTTTGTCTTCTGAAGGTGATATTCTTAAAAATAGAGTTATTTTTAGTAGCAGATGTGCAAATTAATAGAAATAATGTGTGTGGAATCTGCATGTGGTAAATATTTTAATTTCTGCATGGAAGTTGATTTGAGTTTTTTTCTTAAATATTTCCTTGAATAACAAGGCTGGAGAGAATTCATAGGCTTGAGGTAATTCAGCTTTTTCAAAATCCTCTATTTTTTACTCTGTATTAGACAGTAGTATTATTCACACTATTCTCGAAGTCAGTTCTCAATTAAAAAGCTATTTCAGTTTGAAGGACTCTACAGAAAAATGCATTCTAGAAAAAGACTCCATGTCTGGTTTTAGAAATTACTCTAGATCTAACTCAGGCTCTAATTTTACCTCAGAAATTGAGGCAGCTTTAAAAAAGACACCAGAAATGAGTCCAGCTCCGGCAGAGACCTATACATATTGTCCTAGGCCCAGTTCTAGAGATGCTTTCCAGGAATGGACTCTAGAACCAGCCTGAGAAAGAAAGAGAGCTAAACATCTCTCGAGCAGTTCTAGAAAATGCCTCCACAAAGAGCTGCAGAATGAACTATGGGAAAGGGCTTCAGAATATGCTCTAAATGCACTTCCAATAGATTGCTGGGCAATTGAACTTAGGCTCAGCTCTGGAAAAGACCCTAGAAATGATGCTAGTTCTACTCTGAGACTGCAATGTGTTTCTGGAAAGTGCTCTAGAGCCAACATATATAGATATAGCTCTAGGAGAGGTCTCTAGTGATGGCTCTTAGTCCAACTTCAGCAGAGGGCTCTGGAGAAGGCTGTAGCATTTCAAGCTTGACAAACAGCTCCTCCCCAATCATATTTGAAAAAAATGGGTCTAGATCCAGCTCCAGGAATGTATATGGAAATGTGTTTGGAACTGTGGTTCAAAATGTGCCTGTTGGTGATGTCTTTAAGTGCAGTATATTTCTTAGGATCCTAGCCAGACACCTGGAACTGTCAGCTGATCTTTCACAATAAGACTGCATTTTTAAATTCTTTCAGTATTCAGAAATACACAGCAAAATGCTTGCAGCTCTGAAAAAGCTGCTATAGGTGTATTTAGGTATTTTTACATTTCCATGATGTGGGGCTCATCTGCATTTTGCTCATTCACATTACAAATTTAAAGCTGTGTGTGGCTCTGAATAATTGGTTTAGCTCCTAGGAATTGCAAAGTGA